TGCTGCGTTAAGAGATAAATATCATCTATCAGATGTATCCGAATGGCAATATTTACAGCTATAATAAATATTGTGACTTTATTTGTTCTCTTAAAAAGTCAAAAGAATGCCATTATTTTATTTAATTTACAAGGCACTTAATTGTACATTACTCCCAGGTCAATAAAACAACTGGAAGACTTCACCTGTTGACTTATAACTTGACTATTTAGTTAATATGTTACATTTATGGCAAATCTAATGAAATGTTAATGTTTGGCATAATGTATAATGAATATTTGATTCTACATTCATAGAAAGTTTGTAAGTATGATATACAAGTAGTCCCCAGGTTAAGAATGCCCAGGGTTACAGACAACCCATAGTTAAGAACGGAGCCTATTGTAGCAAAATTCAAGTTAAATACACAATGATTTGAGTTAAATACACAATGGTTCAAGTTAATTACATAATACAACTTATACAGTATAATACAATAATACTGTTCTGGCTTACATTCAAATTTGTCTTAAGGACAGACCTTGGGAACGGAACTCGTTCTTAAACTGGGAACTACCTGTATCCACTATTTGAGTTGGTGTCAAGAACTGTTACTCCTAATTCTTAAATGAATTTTAGAATGCTTAGAAGAAAATTCCATACAACTCTAAAATGGTACTTTTCACTTATTTTTCATTATTAACTCTAATTTTCTTTTCCTGTTTTCCTGGATACAGGAGAACATCTTAATGAGGATTCACTTTCACATTGCAGATGAATCTAAAGAAGATATATGCACTGCCCCACATTGCATTTCACATCAGAAATTTGCAATGACCTTGTTTGAACAGGTACAACAAAACAATTCCAAACTAAATTAATCCTGAAATTAAGAAATAGACTTGGAAATGAGCAAAAAATGTATTTTCCTCTTTTAATATCCAACCATTTATTTGTCTGGTTTAGTGTGTCTGTACCAGTTGTGGTGCTACTTCTGACCCATTGCCCTTCATCCAGATGGTGCATTATATCTCAACTACTTCCCTCTGGTGAGTCTCAGGCTTTTTTGCAAAAAAAGAAGAAACCTCTTGGTTTAATTTTTCCCTTTTCTTCTAATTGAATGAGAATAGATAGTAGACTGGTATCTATTGATATGCGGGAAATCAGCAAGGGTTTTTGACCCTTTGACTAAAGGGTATTTAACAGTAGTAACAACAGAAAATCCCTGCTTCTCTAAATTAGACACTGAGATGGAAGAAACCTTTGGATGAAATCCAGAAGTAACTTTTGTGTGAGAGAACTGAGTTTTGTTCTAATATCACAAACAGTTTCTGGACAGAACATATGTTCAGAGATATTCTCTCACCTCTTGGATATAATTCTGTACCCAACTCCTCAAGACCTTACTGCAAAATAAAGTAGATCCTGCAAACTTCAATAGAATAGAGTTTGCTCTTATAATCATTACCAAGTGATTGCTCAAGGAATGCAGGGAAATCTCTTCTGCAATAGCTTGGCCAGCAGAATAGATAGAATTAAAAGTAGATATTTCTAGTGGCAGAAATTATCTGTGCCTCATTCTAAAATTCCAGCCAAGCATAACTTTGAATTAGTATTGTAGTGACAGTTGACATATTTGGCAAGGGGAGCTGTAGAAAGAACTACATGACTCAAATCAACAGCATTTCAAATCAGTCCTGAGAAGAAAAAATACTTCTCTTTCTTGTTATAGAATTATCTGCTCTCTGTTGTAAATGTATATAACAGATGGAAAAAAAACATTAAAATGCTGAATAAAGGGTCAAGGTCTTTCTGTATATCAGTTCAGATGTGGTATATTCATGATGATATGTAAAATTGCAGAATTACAGGTGAAACTCAAAAAATTAGAATATCGTGCAAATGTTCATTTATGTCAGTAAGGCAACTCAAAAGGTGAAACCAATATATGAGATAGACGCATTACATGCAAAGTGAGATATGTCAAGCCTTACTTTGGTATAATTGTGATCTATATTGTTCTATTTCCAATCCTTGTGTTATTGATGTCATGTAATATTCTAATTTTCTGAGATTGTGAATTTGGGGTTTTCATAAGCTGTACGCCATAATCATCACAATTATACCAAAGTAAGGCTTGACATATCTCGCTTTGCATGTAATGCGTCTATCTCATATATTGGTTTCACCTTTTGAGTTGCCTTACTGACATAAACTATATTGTTCTATTTCCAATCCTTGTGTTATTGATGTCATGTAATATTCTAATTTTCTGAGATTGTGAATTTGGGGTTTTCATAAGCTGTACGCCATAATCATCACAATTATACCAAAGTAAGGCTTGACATATCTCGCTTTGCATGTAATGCGTCTATCTCATATATTGGTTTCACCTTTTGAGTTGCCTTACTGACATAAACTATATTGTTCTATTTCCAATCCTTGTGTTATTGATGTCATGTAATATTCTAATTTTCTGAGATTGTGAATTTGGGGTTTTCATAAGCTGTACGCCATAATCATCACAATTATACCAAAGTAAGGCTTGACATATCTCGCTTTGCATGTAATGCGTCTATCTCATATATTGGTTTCACCTTTTGAGTTGCCTTACTGACATAAACTATATTGTTCTATTTCCAATCCTTGTGTTATTGATGTCATGTAATATTCTAATTTTCTGAGATTGTGAATTTGGGGTTTTCATAAGCTGTACGCCATAATCATCACAATTATACCAAAGTAAGGCTTGACATATCTCGCTTTGCATGTAATGCGTCTATCTCATATATTGGTTTCACCTTTTGAGTTGCCTTACTGACATAAACTATATTGTTCTATTTCCAATCCTTGTGTTATTGATGTCATGTAATATTCTAATTTTCTGAGATTGTGAATTTGGGGTTTTCATAAGCTGTACGCCATAATCATCACAATTATACCAAAGTAAGGCTTGACATATCTCACTTTGCATGTAATGCGTCCATCACAATTATACCAAAGTAAGGCTTGACATATCTCGCTTTGCATGTAATGCGTCTATCTCATATATTGGTTTCACCTTTTGAGTTGCCTTATTGACATAAATGAACATTTGCACGATATTCTAATTTTTCGAGTTTCACCTGTATATAAATAAGGAGGAGAGATAAAATATCTTCCAATTCAGGCTTGAAAATAAACTTGCCTAAGTGGTTTAAAACGCTTACAGCACATACCATTTATATATGTTGTTTTTAAAATTATGCCCAAACCCTTGTACTCTAATGTTATATGACATGATTTATTCATTGAAGTGATTTTAAACTGCATTTTGATTTCAACTGGAACCTTAATGTTGATTACAGTATTAACATAAATACTGTAACAGAATGAAAAAATCAATTGTAAAGCACTAAAACAAACTAGTGAAACAAATCAAATAGGAAGTAAATTTAATTAAAGACTGATGGTTTAAATGTGTCTTAATAATTTGCTTATGAAATCGTTAGGGAAGAGAGCAGTATATTCCATCTTAGAAATTATTAGGCATAGCAGCACAACCAAGAAGCTGGTTTTCAATATTTTACTGTGAAATATATCAGCGGTAATAGTCATTATGAGTTTTGTATTTGTTTGGGTGATACCTTACCTTTTTACTCTGAAAAGTACTCAAAGTAATTAACAAAACAACAACAACAGACTAGATTAGACTAGACTAGATATTATTATTAATGGATTCATCAAATTTAGTGGGATTTTAGTTAATTAGGCCCACTGACTTTAGTGAATGTACTTGAAATATTCAGATATATAATCATTTTTATTTTATGTATAAATATGTACGAGAGCCAGTTTGATGTAATGGTTAAGGTACTAGGCTACAACTTGGGAGACTGAGTTCTAGCCCTGCTGGGTGACCTTGGGCCAGTCACACCCTCTCAACCCTAGGAAGCAGGCTTCTGAAATCTTGCCAAGAAAACTGCAGAGACTTGTCCAGATAGTCACCAGGAGTCAACACTGATTCGAAGACACCCCCCAAATTTTTTTTAAATAAATGTATACATTATTTCCAAGGAAAATTCTGATCAAGTTAGTAACTAATTTCCTCTATTTTTCTGTTACTCTTTCTTAAAATTGTAAATTCTATGGGGTAGTTAGGCTGTCATTTTTACTTAATTTTACAAAACTCACTATTCTTTCTTAGCACTAAATAATATTAATAATAACAATACCCAACTTTAGGAAACCAAAGGCTGTTTGTACACTGTAGGTAAAACTTCACAAATTTCAGCTCAGAATAGAATAGCCAACAGAGAGAATAGGAGATGTGTCAGGCATTACATTTCCATTTGCACCCCATCTTGCTTGATTGGAGTATACATTTTTATTCAGGTGTATACTTGCTGTACCTGCAAGTTGAAATGTTGTTCTTTCATGACAGATCTGAAGAAACATAAATAGGCTTAAATATTGTTTATAAAGAAGTATAATACTTTTATTCTTGTTTTATACTTTTTAAAAAACTTAAAGCAATCAGGCCATTTGCATGCTGGAAAGACGAGACAAACCCACTCCTGATATGTTTGGAGAGCTGCTACAAAATGCCAGCACAATGGGAGACATGAGAAACTGCCCGGTTTGTATACATCATTTGTGTTTAGTAGAAGCAGTAGACTGAATAGGGGGGGAAAGTATGCACTGAAAGCTACCTTTGACTTTAGAGGTTTTCAGTATGCCATTTGTCAGTATGCTAAATAGATTTATCATTATATATTACTCTGGGGATTGGATTTACACTGGAAATCCTTAGTCTCAGTTAATTGTCAGGTTTGAGAAGGACGTTTTTTAGGAGGGCATTCTCTGATGGGCTTTTGAATGTATTATAGTCTCTTCCAATCCCTCTGTGCTGTAACAGCAGCTACAAAAGTTGCAGCTATGCTAGAGCAAGAAACCTCCTCAGAAGGGGTAGGGCAAAGTTCCATTGTCCTTGATATACAGATGGATCAGTGTGCGGAAAGTGCTTGGAATTCCAGCAAAAAAGTCCATTGGGGAAGCTGGATTCACTTAACAACCAGGTTGTAAAATGGGGTTAGGTCACATTGTTACTCACTTAACAACTGCCCCACTTAACAACCAGTTTTCCAGTCCTTATTGTGGTTGTTAAGCGAGGTTTACCTGTAATGGAATACAGCCTCTGTTACACAATGGGCAGTTCGCTAGAGCTAGAAACTGACCGGCGACAAGCCAAAATCATGGCTAAAACAAAGTGACATTTATTAAACTACTACAAATATTTCATTTCTAGAGTAGTTTACATAATGACAACATACAATTTGATTAACCAAAACCTAGCTTAACTCCAGTATGTATATGTTCTCAAAAAGTCTTTATTTCAAAATTACCCATTTCCTTACCATCGTTTTAGTATATACACAATATTCCTTTTAACACTTAGGGATATTTGAAGAATTTAATGTGCAGTTTCTATATACTCCTGTTTCTTTCTACTATATAAATCAGTAACATTTTCATAAGTTTTTGTCTGAAAGCAAGATATGTCAGTGTTATCAGGAGATGAAGGAATAGAATGTGAAAATACTAAATAAAAAGGGAGTTTGTAAAACCAGCATGAATTAAATACATTGGATTTCTTTTCAGAGCAACTGTGGAGAAAAAATTCGGATACGTCGTGTATTGATGAACTCTCCACAGATCATCACCATAGGGCTGGTCTGGGACTCAGATCACTCGGATTTGGCAGAGGATGTCATTCATAGCCTGGGCACTTGCCTTAAACTGGGTGATGTGAGTCTTAAATCTTATGGCAATATGTACATTCTTGTTTGACTGTGCTACTGTCCTTCATATATACGTGCATGTCTACGTGCACATCCATGTCTGTATGTTCTGCATTTATTTCAAACATTTTACCTTCAGCTTAAATAGTTACTTTTCAGTAAGTAAATTTAAGCTTCAGAAAAATGCAAGAATTGTACTGAGATTATTCTTCCCTTCCTGAAGCTGTTCTTCAGAGTAACTGACGACAGAGCAAAACAATGTGAATTGTATTTGGTTGGAATGATCTGCTACTATGGAAAACATTACTCCACCTTTTTCTTTCAAACAAAGATTCGTATGTGGATGTATTTTGATGATGCCCATGTTAAAGAGGTAAGAAATTAGAGAATTTAGAGGGAAAATAGAATAAAATGTTCAAATAGTGACAGTGTAAATCTATCTGAATTTTTTTAGATGAGTTGATAAACTTCCAATTATTTGCCAGAAGTTTATGATGAAACATTCCAGATAAGTTGCACCCACTATTTCTAAAATATCCAAATGACACAAACACATTATTTAAGAGAGCAAGAGCAGAATGCATGTTGTCTGCCATGTAGGGGTTTATCTTTATGTCACGATCTAACAAAATAACATCGTTTCAGTACAATGCAATGATGATAAGGCAGAAACTTTGCAACTCTTCTTGGGAGAAGAAACGAATATCATAGGCAATCAAAGACATAGTAGTCTTTTATTTGTTCTTTGCTTATTTTAACCCAGATGCTCTCTATAGCAAATCTTCAGCTAAAGAAAAAGGGATCACTTCTTTTAAATGTCTTCTTTAATCTTTCTACTTTTTAGAGAGGGATATGTTGATTTATTGGAGAAGAGGGTCTTCTCCTGTAACTCCAGAACAACCTGGGAGTACTGCGATTTGGGGGGTTGGTTTTTTTAGTTAATGTTTTATATTTCTTTTTTGGATTTTTTCTAATTTTATTTATTTTTTACTTTTTCTCATATTTGTATGTTGATAAACTTTTCCTTTTTTCTTCAATATTTTCTATGGGCTTTTTATTTTTTTCTTATAAATTGTTAGTCTTTCTTAATTTTCCTGATCTGGGTAAATACTGGTTTGCACATATGAATGCACCCAACAATATTAATTTTATTCTGGCTGTGAATTAGCTAAATTCTGCAAACTTGCATCAGTCTTTTGTATAATTATGTCATTACCACAAATGAATATCGTCATTATAAGGTTTACCCCGTTCGACTCAGAGAAACTCTTGTGACACGTGTGTTCAGCAAAGAAATTTACTCAAGCATAACGTACGTAATTACAGACAAAGCCAGGACTGGCTTGGCACATCTTACAACACAATTTATAGTCCCCCCATTCCCGCGCTTAGCTCCGTTGCTAGGTTACAAATTACCCGCAGTAATCCCCCCCTTCACCAAAATGGCAGATTCAGTCCAGTTCTTTTGTTCCTTGATTGCTTTACCCCGCTGGCGTGGTCATTGTCTTCATTGGGTCTTTCTGTTGTGCGCAAAGCCGGGGGTCCTCAATCACGCGCTGATTGCTTTGCCCGGAGCTGCTGCTCACTCCTTTGCCTGCAGCGCTCAAGGCAAATAGGTGTTGACACAAAGTATCCGCTTTGCGGTTCAGTAAAGCAGTCCCAGCTGGCCCATTAATCAGTTCGCAGTTTCACTTCCCCTTTTCCTTTGCTGGTGCTCGGGCAGTGAAACTGACTAAGCGTGGCTGGGCAAGTCCCTAGCCGTGCCACACCGGCTGAATCTGACATTCATCATGTAAATGATGTAAATTTCCTATGATGCCCTACTTCCAACTAAAGGATTCCCTCCCGTCCCCACATTAGTCCAGTAATATGAGATTTCATTGTATATGGGGCACTAATAAAACTGCTGTTAAAAGTGTCCTTAAACATGAAGTTGCTAGGCTTAAAAGACAAAAATGACAAAAGAATATTAAAAAAACAAGTAAAAACAAAACCTATAGTTTAGTAACTAAGAAGAAAACAGAGTTCAAAGCTCAGAGGGTAGATCACATTAAAAATTCTTTGAGTACCTGAACAGGTCTTATTATGAATTTAGTAACAGGACTGTCCAACTTTTATCCAGTGTTGTAAGATGCCATAAGACTAGGAATAGTATCATGCTATGATCTAGAATCCAGTTTGTTTACCAATTGGGGTAAATCTTGGTTTATGATCTTCTGTTCAAAGCTATACTCAGTATATGATGTTGGGAAGCCAGAGGAATTAGGATTAGCCATTAGGAATTTAGAGCTGAAGCCAATTTCTGATCTACATATCTGAAGAGATACGGAGATACGGAGGACTATCAAAAAAGCTAAAAAGAAAGAAAACCACTGGACTGGATAGCTTTTCTAATGCATTTTATTAAAGTTATAATGAAGACATTCCTTTCTTTTCTAATAATAGTATACTTCAATGTAAGATAACTCTTGCATTTGAAGCAGATGAAAGTTATAGTTCACTTGAAATAAAATAAAGAACCACAGTAGCTTTTATTATCCTATTACTCTATTAAACAAAGGTTGCTGACTGCAGTGTTACAGATAAAATGATGGATGGATTTATATTTAGAAAAAAATGTGTGTTTCCTGGCTTAGTTCTTACTAAGAGAAAAGGATTCTCTTATTCATTTGGTTTTCAACCCCTATGTATCACCACAATATAAATGATTAGTTAGTTAATTTAGGTGCCATTGAGTCATAAACAAGTGTTCACCCACTCAGTTTTAATACTAGCTTATAGCTCTTTCAAGGAGAGTCCTGTAATTTATTTTACTCTGTATACCTTATCTGTTGTCTTTGCCTTCTATTTCCCATAACTTTTTTCTAATCCATCATCTATATACATCACATGTGCAGAGTATGAGAGTTTCTGCTTGCTGAACATCACCTCAAGGGAGCAATCTGTCTTTATTTGTTTCCACACCAATTTATTGGTTCTTTCTAAAATCCACAGGACTTCTAGTAATCATCTCCAGATCCATAATTCAAAAGTGTTTATCTTCTTTCTGTCATTCTGTCTCAAGATCCAGCTTTCACAGCCATATGTTACCAGTGGAAAGACAATTAACTATTGTATTCTTTGTTGTAATAGAAACATTCTTTCCCTTCATGATCTTGTCAGATCTGTCATTGGCTTCCTCCCTAGGAGGAATCTCATCTTTATTTCTCCATCACTATCCATCTTTATCTATACTAGAGCCCAAGAAAACAAAGCTATCTACTCCCTTCCATTCTCTATTGTTACATTTATTGTTCATGAACAACGCTGGTTCCAATAGAAGAGAGTATGTGTAGCTCAGGGTTGAACAGTGGAGTCCTTGGTGTTCTCTGAGCTTGGTTGTTTTCTTGCAAACATTTCATTACCTGGCTAGGTAACATCTTCAGTGTTAGATTGGAATGGGTTTTGCTCTCTGTTTATATACGGTGGCCTGTCCTGCCAGTGTTAGTGGGGGTGTGGGTTTTCTTTTGCTTTATTTTTTCCCCTTCTGGTGGTTCCTTGATTAGGGTATTGTTTACTGCTTGATTGTGTGTCTGGTGATAATCTTGGTGTTA